GATGGATGGATGATGGATGGCTGGATGGATGGATGGATGGATGGATGGATGGATGGATGGCTGTATGGACGGATGGATGGCTGCATGGATGGATGAATGGATGCATGCAGGGATGGATGGATGGATAGATGGTTGGATGCATGGATGGAAGGATGCATGGATGCATGGATGGATGGAGGATGGATGGATGCGTGGATGGATCGAGGATGGATGGATGCGTGGATGGATGGATGGATGGATGGATGGGTGGCTGGATGGATGCATGGAGGGTTGGATGGATGGGTGGATTGGGTTAATTTGTGCTGTTTGTTTTGTGCTCTGGAAAATGGTGCATTTAAAACAAATAGTTAATCTGCACCATTCCCCCCGGTGTCTGGAGGACTAAACAAAACTCAAGAAGGTGCATTCACTGACATTGTGTAAACTTTAAAATTATCTCCGATAAATTGAATCTTTGTAATTCCGACTGTGTGGGAACAAAGTCCTGTGCTGATGAGTTGGAATTATTTTATCTAGATTTGACCACTTAACCACTGTGAAACAAAACATTTCTTTTTTATATGTCTAAAGTTTTTACATTAAGCAACATTTAAGTGGCTCTTTGTTGCAGTGGAGACTGACAGAAGGACAACTGAGGCAAAGACCAGGAGCTTGTACTAACCAGGCAATTTATCACATCCTTCATCCCTGACTCCTTTACAGGAAAATCAGGGAATCAGACATCGTGAACTTCCAAATCATTCCCATCATTCTCTGAATAACTTCTTTCAGTCACAACTCGTTGAGGTGGAACCATCTTAGATGCATTTATTAGTTTTTCTTCAGGAGCATTCAAACCAAACAGCTCCAAGAAGCTTTGAAGGGCTTTTGAGATCAGGGAGTTCTCCAAATGACAACAAACCTTCAAACTTTTATCCCCCTCTCACTTTGGGTTTCATTTTTCCAAGTTTTATTTAGGTCTAAGACAGCAGTGTCCAGTTCCTGTTCTCAAGGTCCGAGGTCCACCACCTTGCAGGGTTTTGGAGGTTTCCCTGCACCAACACACCTCATTCTAACAAATTATCTCCTCGGGAGTGTGTTAATGAGGATTTTATTTAAAATAAGTGTCTTGAAACACAGAAATGTGTAAAACATAAAGAGCTGGAGGCTGAGCAATGTTTTGAAGTTTAGAATATCAGTTTCTGGTGGTTGTACGCTGAACCAACCACCAAAACCATCGCCTTACTGGTTTCCTGATCCTGCAGCTCAGACTGTAAAATGGGAGTTTAAAAAACTCGATTTCTATAGTTACTATTTATAAACCATAAGTGTTTAGAGTTTCTGCAGTGCATGAACAGAAAATAAGGGGAAGAAAGAAAAATGCCTTCAATACTTAATCAATAATCAGCAACAAATGAATTATTCAGCTTAGATGTAATTTAAGCCCGATTGGACGTTTCGGTGTTAAATCATCTTCGGTGTGAGCTGTGCTCGTCTCACTCACCTGGCTGAGGAATGTAAGATATGGCTCCTGGAAGGAAATTAAAATAAAACAAAAGTATCAGGAAGTGATGACTCCCATAATATACATTCAAACAGACCGAGTCACAAACCGATCTTCTGAGTCCTCTGCTTCCACAGAAGCCACTGCTGTGGGATTTTGTCCTGTGAGACCAAAAGGGATGGATTGATGAGCTGCAAGCTCACAAGATGAATTTACAGATAATATGCTCTGGATTTGACACAGACGCACCTTCTCAGACCACTGAGACACTAAAGTCCACATGACCAGCTCCATGGCGCTCAGCAGATTGGGAACTCGCCTCCAGCGCCAGGCTGACTGCAGGTCCTCCAGCATCTTCCCCACTGGCTCTCCTGGCATCACACTTTGCTGCAACATGATCACATGAGTTTATAAAGCAGATTTGCGTCACAGGGAGTGAAACTGGAAAGACTTTGTGCATTTAAAGCCCCACCTCAGGCTGAGCTCTCAGATCTTGAACCCAGTTGAGAATGGCAGTTTTGGCCTGCTGAAGGTCATGTAAGGTCATCATATCAGGCTGTTTGTCCTCATCCATCTCCGGCCAGCCGTCAGTCTGCATTAGTCTCTCCTGCACACAGAAACTTTTGCACTTTAGCTTTCAAAAAGCCTTGGAGTTTGTTCAGTACCGTTTCTTTTTTCATCTCTTTCACAGAAAAGCACCTTGTTCTCCAGCATGGAGGCCCACTGCAGGATGAAGAGCTGGCAGAGAGGAGTGGGCCAGGTGTCATCCTGGTTCCAGACGTGCTCCAGAACCTCTGACCTCTGCAGGGATGAAACACAGACAGAGACAGTCTAACAGTCCTTGAAGATATGCATATCACCCGCTCATATAAGGTTATGTGCTGTGGAGGACTCTCAGCTACTACCACAAGTATCAGCTCAGCATCTCTGAAATGAACAGCGTTAGTGTTTTTAATAACGCTCCTGGCCGTCTTGAACCAGGCTGACTGTAAATGCACACTAGCGGTTCATGAGATGTTTGGCTAACAGACAGACAAGAACACGCACAGACACAGATGAATACATTTTTACCCATTTAATGTCTTTGAAAATCATTCAAACTGTTGCTGATGATGCAACAACAGGTAATGAAAGTTAGGATTTTTCTTCCGTACATTTTTCTACATCTTTTTCCATTCCCCAATTTGCTATTTCAACAAATCATAGATCAAAAATATTCAGCTCATTTAGGACAATCCTGCTGTGACTTGGTGCAACTTTAGCTTGTTGAAATATTTAGCCTTTTCTGTCATTTTTTTTTCCTCATAGAAAATGAATTGAGCTCATTTTACATCCTTCAAATCTTTAGATCTGTTTACAACCTTTTACTGCTCCTTTCACATTTTGTTCTGGTGCAGCTTCTTTCAGCTTCCTTGGGCAAATTTAAACCTTTTTCTGTAAGGATGGTACCATTTGCTGTTTTCTGTTTGTGTCTGTTTCCCTAGTGTTTCCTCGTCAGTTTAATTGTTGCCACCTTTGTCTCGTCACACCTGTTGTAATCACGTCTGGTCTCGTCCTTGTATATAAGCCTCCTGTTCTGTGTTGTTCCTTTGTCGGGTCGTATTCGTTGGGTCTCCTGTGTTCTCCTGCGTCTTCTGAGTCTTCCCTGAGTTTCCTGAGTCCTCCCTGAGTTTCCCTTTGAGCCATCCGTTTTCATGTAAGTCTTGCTGCCACGTCAGCTATTATTTTGTTCTTTATTTTCTATTAAAATACTTATTTTTGTAATCTGCCGAGTTGAGTCCTGTCTGCACTACTGGGTTCGTTCCTGACCACCAAATCCTGACATTACGACCCGACCACACATTAGAACCCAGCGGGCAGGATTCTCTCGGCAGCTCAGCTTTTTTCTTTTTCTCCTCCGAGCCTCGAGATGAGTAGATCCACAATCCGGTGCGGCGGGTTTTGGACTAAGCCCGTCCATCCACAAGGATGTTATGACCAGGAGGTGGAAATCCTGTCCTCTCCACTCCTGGTCCTCGAGGAGGACAGAGCTCGGTACCGGGGAAGCCACCGCACCACGGTTTCTGAGTCCGCTTCGCCCGGCTACTCGGGATGGACGTCGGGGGAGGACGAAGAGCTCGAAGAGGAGTTTGGTTTTGTTCCGGTCCCTCGACTCACCCGTCGTCGCTCGGGAGGTAGGAAGCGGTCCCGAAGGCAGCCCGCGGCGACCGGGCCGGTTTCGCCGGCTGAGCAGAATTTTAGAGTTGGTTCCGGTGTTTCTGTGGGAGCCGGATCCGCCGCCTCACCTCTCAGGTTTTCGGTGGGGGCGAGGTCCGACGTCCCACGGGGGCTCCGGTCCACTTCTGCTCGGTTCGGCGGGTCCGGTCCGGTTGACGTTACTGGGGCGGATTCCGTGGCCTCACCCTCCAGGTTCTTGGTAGGAGCGGAGTCCGGCCTCTCGCCGTCACATCGCGCCGCGGCTGTCCAACCCGGCCGGTCTGTACCTCTGGGGCATTCTTCCAGTGACTCTGTGGGGGCGTGTTCCGCCGCCCCACCTCTCAAGTTTCCGGTGGGGGCGACACCTGACTCCACACCCTCACTTAAAGACACTGGCCCATCAATCACGTATTCACCCCATGAATTAGCCCAAATAAACCAGACTTTACTAGATTTATTTACTTCTGCTAAAAATAACCCGGACTGCTCAGATGTTTTATTTTCCCTGATGGAAGAATCTTTAGTTTCACGTCCCGGTCTCATTCAGCTCCCTGAGTATAACCGTTTATTAATAAAGATTAGGTCACTCATCACACCCAAGGTCACTTATACACACCCTGAACTCTCCTCTGCTCCTCTGACTCCTGGACCCATCACCTTCGCTGCTGTTCCGCCTGCTGAGTGCCTCGCCATTGGTGCACCTGCTTCTGTCGCCTCAGAATCAGTTTCTGTTTCCCGTCGCCGCCGCCGCAGAAGATCAGTTCCTGCCGTCACCACAGAAGAGTCGGTTCCTGCCTCCGCTGCAGCTCTCCAGGCTCCCACGCCGTCTGCTGCAGAGCCACAGGCCTCTCCATCGTCTGCTGCAGAGCTCCAGGTCTCTCCGTCGTCTGCTGCAGAGCT